ACATCTCTTACTCTTACTTGTCATTTCAAGCACTAGAAAATGTAATGCACAGGGTAAGAAATTAGTGTGAATATTAAAAGTTCGGTACAGTTGACAGAAATCTTCATATGTGGAGAACTTAAAAAATTCAGAGATTAAGGAAAAACATTTGGTTTTTAGAAATATTTTTTAGTGTGATTCAGCCTGGGAAATCACTCTAGGTTTTACAAACTCTCCAAAATGTCAGTTGGGGAGTTGGAAGAGGATGCTACTAAAATGAAGCAGTGTAATCAATTTATTTATTGTTTTATTTTAAAGAGAAAAGAACAAAAACAAAGAGGAAAACAAAACGACACAACAACTATAATCAATTCAGAATAGTGGGAGAAACATACGGGCTGAAAAACTACCGAAAACTGAGCTACTAGCTCTAAAGCTGTGGGAAAATCACTCAGTCTCTCTGCTTTCCTGTGTAGACGGTCACTATGTCAAGTTCCCGTTCTTGCTGGGCACACCCCCGGACCTTTGAGTAGAGAGGCTGGGCTTTACGGGAGGCTAATTTTGCTTTTCCCATGAATGTTTTAGATATCTAGCTTCTCTGACAACCAGTCCAGGGCAGATGAAGGAAAGGAGGCCCCAAGAATTCACCAGTGTGCTGTTTCTTGGGTGTCCAGGTCCCCACCTGGTCTGTCTGTCTATCCTTCAGTGTCCCCATGTTCATTTTACAAGTTTTCATAGGGAAATAGACAAAAGCATGCCCACCCCGCCTTCCTGGAAGCACAAGCTCCCTCATGATCCTTTGAATGTTAAGAATTTAAGTCTTAAAGACTCCTCTTGGACCACAACCCTGCCTGTCCTCTTTTTGAAGGGAGAGTTTCCTACCCTCAACGAAAGCACTCTGGGGACCCTAAAGGAGCAGAAGTTTTTGAGGTGCAAGCCAGGCTGAGTTTCCTCCTGCTTCTCCCCCAGGCCTCAGCCTCTGTGGCTCACAGCTTCCTCATCCTTAACATGAAAGCTGTGTTCTGCTCACCCTGGGAGAGCAAGAGCCACAGAGGACAGAGAACTTGGAACAGAACACCTGGCACGCATGGGAGCAATAAGTGCAATTGCTTTCCAGCTCCAACTTATCCCTGCACAAGTCATGTCACCCTTGGCTGCAGGAATTCAGTTTTCACACTGCTGGTGCACTTCAGAAGGAAGGAGCCCTGAGCTCTTTCTTTTCCTCACTGCACTTGGTAGGAATGGGCGCTCCTGGACTCAGGTAGCAGTCCTTTCCTGTGGCGTTCATATCCCTTCCTCCTCTGACCCGGCCCCCTCCAAAGACGCGTCCACCTTCACTGCCCCAGAGCCCAAGCCTCAGGCACATCAGAATGCATGCTGCTCTCCGGGTGGAACGTGAACTTTCGGCTTTTGTGAATGTCGAACTTGTTATACTGCTTTGACAATGCCACAAGTGTTAGTGCAAGTGTAGACCCAGTAAAAGTGGGCTACACCGTGCTTCAGCACTTCAGCGATATGTCAGTTTCTATCCCATCACATATCAGGGATAAGGCAATTTATTTGTGCTTTGATGTCACTCAGGTTGAACTCAAGCAGAAATTTAAGCATAACATTTAAATAAAAGATGTGCAATTCTTTAACCGCCCAGCGCTTGGTCTCAGTCCCTCAGCTCTCTCCCTGCATCAGTGTCTCCAGAATCAGCCCACCCTGCCTTTTTTTTCCGGTCTCCTTGTTTAGCCATTCCAGACCATTCTTTCCTCCAAGGAGTTACAGCTGACATTCTGGAAAAATTAATGGACCTTTCTCGACTTCCGGCCTCTCTGATGTTATCCAGATGAAAGGACTAAGGTCCCACTGCAGCACTGGGGGCCAGCCCCTCGCTCTAGGGGATGCAACCCTGAGCACAGTGTGGCCTGCTGGGCTGGATACGGCCTGGGAAGTATTCACAAATGGAGACTGATGAAGCCTGGAGTACGTGCCAAGAATGAGGACGCTGTGGCCGGCACGCCCCGAAATGGACGGACAGTAAACACATTCTCCGTTTATTTCTGTTTCATAGGAGCCTTGAGCTTAGCTGTTTCGCTAACATCTGTTCTAATACCAGTGAGTCAAATCCAAGATGGGACATTTAATTGGCATGCTTTAGGAGATACACTGTAAGTGAGCTTGTACAAATTTTCTGAACTCTGTTGGAGGGACTGTTTTCCATAAACCACACTGAAAAGTAAATACGCCTAGAGTGAAGGGGAAACTATGTGTCTATACTTCATTTCCTCATATTCCAGTGTACGGTTACAGGAATTCCCAGGTGTAAACTGGTCTAGAGGAATGTGATAGTATCATACTAACTGGAAACACTAATGGTCTTTAGAAAATTTATGCTGAAATCAGCTAAACTTACTGAATAAATGATTTGTATAACTTATGCATGGGGAAGATCTGATGAGTAAAACCTGCAGTTTAAAATTTTCTACCAAAACACTATCCACACAGTTTAACGTTGAACAGGGAATTAAACAAGTAAAATGGTTAACATATTACATCCTGAACTCAATCAAAACAAGTATAGTAGTAAGTTTGTGTTTATTCTGTTACAATAATCAGTTTTGTTACTATTTTCATACTTTTCATTATTACATTTTGCTTAAGTGGTGAGAACATGTTGAGGTAATTTTTAGTCTAATTTCTCAAATACACTTTAATTGGAATATTCTAGTTTGAAATACATTTAATTTCTGCAATGTCTTCAAAGTACGTCTTCATTTTTAAATAAATGTGCCTTTTTAAGAAAACAAAATGTCACTTAGAAGAAACATTTTTCCAGGATAGTGGTCCAAGAACACTTGGAAAATTAGTCAGTTCAAAAATGCTTGAGGAACACTTTTCAAAATTATCTATGAACAAAAAGTACATATCTTTGTAATTGGTCCTAATTAATTACATGTTTGGAAGGCCTCACATTCTCTCTCTCTCTCTCTGTCTTTTTCTCTCTATATATATGAATATCTTTTCATTTTAAATGAAAACATTGTATATCACTTGAACATTCAAGAAGACTTTTCTATATTTATGCATTTGCACATGTGCACAAGCATCTCACTTGTGTGTTGCACACTACCATAAACTCAGTGCGAACAGAGCACTCGCACGTACTTTTGGGTGTTCTCTCTCAAGGTGACAAATTCAGCTACCTTGACTAACGTATCTGCTAAGGTTAGGAGTGCCAGCTCTGTTCAGGAAAAACAATGAAGAAAAAGAACTCAGCCCCAAGCCACGGTCGCAGACACTTTCAGATCTGGGGGTGGGGTAGCGGGAATCCTGCCACCTGCTGCTCCCGCAGCATGGCTCTCGGGTTCCGGGAAACCAGAAAGCTGACCTTGGATGTCTGCAAAGGAAGCAACCCACCTGTGCGGATGGCTATTTGTAAAAATGTCATAATGCCATTTGCCAATCTTTGCTTTTGTTTCCTGTGCTTTAGGGGTCCAGAAAAGTCATTGCCAATACCAGCATACTGACGTTTTTTCTTTACATTTTCTTCTAGTAGTTTCAGAGTTTCAGGTACCCTTCAACAGATGAATAGATAGGGAATGTGGCATATGTACACAGTGGAGTATTACTCAGCCATAAAGAAGAGTAAAATCATCTTACTTGTGGCATGGAGCTGGAGGACCTTATATTAAATTAAGTAAGCTGTGAAGAGACCAGTACAGCACACTCTCTCTCATATGTGGAAACCAAAAGCAAGGTAGCCTAAGAGCACAACAGGGATTACTAGGAATTAGGAGGGGTACAGAGAGAACAAGGGGAAAGGAAAGGCTGCATTTGATCGGTGCACACTGCACGTGTTTGACAATATTGCACTGAACAACATTAATATGTGAACAAATACAAAGAGCATTTTTATTGTTATTTATTATTATTATTAAAAGTAACTAGTGAAAAGTAAGTCACAAAGATTGAAAAATAACTCTCATAAACACAGGGTAGCCAGTGATGTTGAGTTGTGAGAAACTGAAGCCTTGTTTGTGCGAATGTAAAACGTTGAAGGGACTTTGGAAACCAGTACAGTGGTTCCTACAGAGAATTAAAATCTACCTACGATCCAGCAATCTTACTTCTTGGTATTTACCCAAAAGAACAGAAATCAGAGCCTCAGAGAGAGATGTGCACACCCACATTCCCTGCAGCATTACTGACAGTACCCAGGAAACACTAGAGAAATGGGTGGAGGAAAGGCAGTACCATGTCGAATGCATGTACCACACAGCCTTAACAGAGAGAGATCCGGCCGTCAGCGACAGCATGGATCACCCTGGAGGACCCTATGCAAAGTGGCAGAAGCCAAGCGTTAGAAACAAATACCGCATGATTCCCCTTCTGTGAGGACCGAAGGTGGGCAGATATAGAAGTGGAGAACAGGATGGTAAAGGTGACAGGAGGCAGGATGAGGAGTTGCTGTCCAGCAGGATGATGTTTCAATTATGCATCAGTTCTAGAAATTTTGTACAACACTGTGCCTTAAGTAAGCAGTACTGTGTGACTACACTTCTAACTCTGGTAAGTGGGTAGATCTCATGTTATGCATCCATAGCACAATTTTTTAAAAGGTGGTCTTTCTTTCCTCCTTTGTCTGTAAATAAAAGTTTATTTGTAGGCTCAAATACATATAGAAAAGTTCCATGATCTCGAAGTTGATCGGCAGCTTTAGTCCCTCTAAGGAGTTAGCAAACCAAAGGCAAATGTACTCTGTAAATTAGTGGATGCAAAGTAATTTCTTATTTACGGTGAGAACTGACATTCATGAAATCTTGAAGGGAACTGTTTAAAAATAGCTGTTAAAAATTCCTGTGACACTAAAGATTGGGAACTTCAGTTAACTGGTTATAAGGATAATCACCTAATTCTTTCAGGAGAATACTACCAGTATTACTGTTTTCTACAATAAACTATTATAAAATATTATTTGGATGTTTTAATTTAGTTATTGAGAACATATAAAATATTTCATAAAATACTATCAGTCTAACCTAAAGTATGTGTTATGTGGATGTTTTATTTCTATTAAATTTAAATAGTGAAATTATCTTGAATATCAGAAAGATGCCACAAAATGGCGTAAACAATCTAAGATTGATAATACCAACAACAGGTTGCGCCTCCATTACTTTCCCTGGGCACTGGGCAGCCCTCACTTAAGTTCTTTGTGTATCAACTCCTCCAATCCTCACAGTTTCACCATGAAGCAGGCACTCTTACTGTGCACATTTCAGCTGCAGAAACCGAGGCAGAGGGGTGCCCTCATTCCGGGTCCTGGAGCTGAGAAGCCGTGCGGGCTGGGTGAAGCACTGCGGTTGGATGCAAGGCCTCAGCTTCCAGCTGTGAGCCGCCCTGAGTCTCACTCTTCCTGAATACATCAGAGCAAACAGAACAGAGGGGAGAGCTGGCTCGGGGCTCTGCACATGCTCGGTGCTTTCCCAGATGGGCACGGACGATATTAACATACTTGTATCACATCTTCGGCCCTGCCGAGCTAGGAACCAGTAGCCACGTTAGAATGCCCAGGAGTGGATTGTTGTTAAAATCTCACTCCCAGATGCAGAGCTGCAGCAAGAGCAGAACATGTGGTCAGGAAGGGATTCTTCAGAAAACAAAGGCGGATTCTCTGCACGGGATGACATGAGATGTGGAGAGCCGGCCATCTGGGTACTTTTTCATTAGGATGAGCTGTAACTTCTAAACCATGAGAAAGAAGAGAGGAAAGACAGCCTTGATTTTCTGCCAAAAAAGATTTTAAAGCTCCACACTAGCGGGTTTCTACGTGAGAATTTAAATATTTCCTACCCACATATACACAGTAAGGTTGCATCTACGCAGCCAAATACAACATTTTCCCTAATACAGCTGCACAGGTGCCCAAAGAGTGTGCTGCTTGAGCTGGAGCCAGGATCAGGTAGCAAAAACCTCTGCCATTTCATCCCACCCTCTAACATTTGCAGGCTGACATGGCATGCGAGCACCAAGCCAGGCGTATGGAAGCCTCAGCATGTGTAAGATACCATGGGTCCTTGTCCTAGGGACTTGAAAAACAAACAAATGAAAAATCTCCAAGGTGAAGCAAGTGTGTGCTGTGGCTCACTGTCATTACGCATAGTCAGTCGTATATGTAGCCAGGTATTCCCACTGATGGTAGGAAATAGACTTAGGAAGCACTTCACGTGAACCAAGAGTGGTAAGTGCGTATCGCACTACATGCATCCCTTCATTAAATAAGTCAAACCTTGGTAAGGAGGGTTTTCATAAAGCTGCATTTGCTGCTGCTGCATCTGAAGCAGGTGTGGAGGTCAGCTTGGGCAGGTTCTTGGCACAGGACTGGCCTCACTGGGCTCTGACGGAGGAGAGGGAGAAGCAGAACTGAGAGAGGCGCTCCAATGGCAGCAAGGCAGGACAGAAACACAATGTGGGGGTGAGGGTTGAGGGTTTGGCTCCAAGTTCAACTGCTCCTTTGGTTCCTGACTGGCGTCCATGCTCCCCAGCACCAGCCCTGACAGTGGCCTCTGGTGTGCAGGACTGGACCTGGAGGCTGGGGAGGCTCTGTGTGTGAGTGGTGGGAACAGAAGCAAAAGCTGCTCTACCAGAACATTCTAGAAGAACAGCCAGCAGCCCCTGCAAACTCAATCTGCGGCTGTTAAAGAGAATAATGCCACGTAAATCCACAAGCAACACAGAAGGGAAAGCAGAGATGCTGACTCTGAGCTCCAAGAACAACTTTGTGCCCAAACCACTGAGGCGCGGGCCTGACAGGAGTCACACAGGAGGACAACTTCGGAAGAGCAGTCAGCAGACACCGAGGGCACCATGACTGAGGCAGAGGATGCACAGCCTCTACGTCAGCCCCTACACCTGCTACGCTCACCTGGGCCTCTCCAGAGGTGCCCACTCCTCGTCACCTTGTCTATGCTGCCCAGGTGGTAAATTCTGTCACATGCAAGGATGAGCCCCTGGGGACCCCAGGAAGTGTGGCACATGGAGGGCAAGCAGACAGGGTCTTCTAGGCTTCCCGCCCTCTGCACCCCGCTCCAGCAGAGCTGGAGCTACACCCTCCTGCGTGGTCTCCCACTGCCACTGTGGCTGGGGTCAGGTGACACCAGGCCACTGGGTTTAGTGCCGGGGGAGTTTGAGACATGAGCCTCCAGGACCCCGGAGGAGCCAGAGGAGGACTCCAGGAGGCCACAGGACTCGGGCTTGGTCCTGAACTGCAAGATTCTATTTGTCAATTTTATGCTTCATTTTGTCAACCTCTATCCTTTCAAAACTTGCTAGTGCACAAGTAGTTTCAGTAAAAATGTTCCAGTTGTACATTTTGTCAGCAAATCTGGTGCTTTAAGCGCTTTAGATGTGTTAGCTCTGCAACCTCAGAAGACTGGAACTAGGTCCAGTGTGCAGGAGTGTACTTTGCCGGGTCCCCGCGAGCAGGGCCACACCGAGCTGGGTCTCACGGCTAGAGTCACCGACCAGAGTCCAGCTCTGGGAGACACAGCGGGCATGGCCTCCATCTCGGGCACACGGGCTCCTGGGGCTCCCGGCCGCCTGCTGCTCCTCCTCTGCACCTACTGGGCTCTCCCTTTGCTCCACTTTTCTCTTTTTGGTGTACTGAGGCTTCGGAGAAAACGAGAGTCTGCAGGTGCGTGTGTCCGGGGAAGGGTTAAGGTGGAGAGATCCTCTCCACAGAGGTGAATGCGGATTTCCTCCCACTTCTGAAACAGGCAATGCCCTTCTCAAAAGATCTCAGGAACACTGCGCACCCTGGGAAGCACAGGGCCCTTGAGATTACGAGGAGAGAGCGTCCCTACCCACTGTGTTTGCCAGGTGCTCTCACCCTTTACTCCGATAATGGCCACCGTCCTTCACAGCCTGTAGTGGCCCTTTAAGAGCTCACTTAACTCTAGGCATGAAATTAGCCCAACCCTACATGCTCCAGGCGGTTGTTCTTGGTAATGCAAGTACTCTCCACTTTCCCCTTGCTTGGTTTAGAAAACAGTTGTTTAAATCTCCACAGGTCATTACATTTTATCAGTGTGACAACAGAATTCTTATAAAATGTACTGATGCTTCATCACCTTAAGCTTCATGACATTTTTTTAGTGGTACTGGAAATCAAACCCTGTGCCTTACAACTGAGCTACAACCCCAGCCAGTTTTGACAGTACCTCACTAAGTTACCAGGTTTCCCTGGTGGGACACAAACTTGTCATCCTCCTGCCCCAGCCTCCCTGAATGCTAAGATTACAGGTGTGCCACTGCGCCCGGCTAACTCCGCGCCATCTCCCACACCAGCAAGACTTACCTGGTTAGCCCATGACAGTCACTGGGAATTTGACTACCTTTGGACCTGCTCAGGCTGTTATTTATCTTTCTTTTAGCTTGTAGACTATATGATGAAACTTACATTTAAAAACAAAGTGCAACATCTAAATTTTTAATTATAAAATTTCTAGCACAGAATGTTAGTAGAAGAGAAGAATGTTCCCGTACCCTCACTGCAAACCCTCCACATCTTCCCGTCCCCTCTGGTTTTGCTGTCCTCACCATGTAAGCAGGTGACACACAGGTGTGTGTCTCACTGTGAATGGCTGTAGCCGCTGTCACAACCGTGGTCACGAGGCTGGCGCCCGTCATTTCTAGGATCATCAGTGCCACCTTCTTCAGCATCAGCTCAGCAGCATTCCAGGATATCCTGCCCTTTCCTGGGTTCCATCTGCTGGGATGTACACCTTTCTCTGCAGGTCCTTCCTGTATAAAGACTCATCAATATGACTCCAGAGTTGGTTTGAGGTTCAACTTTTTATGAGAACCTGTTGAGTAATGTTCATCCCTTGGTTGAATTTTCATGGGTGCAATACACACAAAATGTGTTAGGTCCTTTCCTGGGGTTCCCAGTTCTTCCGGAAGCACCCGTGTGTCCTGGGAACACTGCACACCCCGGGAAACATAGGGCCCTTGAGATTACAAGGAGAGTCTCTACCCACTGTGTCTGCCAGGTGCTCTCACTTTCCTTGGCAATGGGAGACTTTTCATATTTTCCTCTGGTCTCTTTCCAGCATTTCCTTTGTCTCTTAATGAAAACACATGTAGACAGTCAGTGCGGCTTCTTGGCAGTGAGCCGCCTGCGACTCTGCAGGTGCGGGCCGAGGCGACCTCCCCTGCACAGGCTAGGCCACCTGGTGGCTAGGCACGGCCGGATGACATGAGAGTGACTCTGCAGGGACTGATCTGCAGAGCTGGGCGGCCTGATCACAAGGATTTGCTAGTCATCCAAAGTACTGCACAGTACGATAGCTCAGGAACCGCAGTCCTTTGCAGACTGGAAGTTCTCCGTCTCTGGTGGGGAGACTCTCGTGCCATCAGATGAACAGATAAAGAAAATGAGGTACTATATTTCTACACAGTGGAGAACTCCTCTGCCATAAAGAAAGACTGCAGTCACTTGAAGCTAAATGGATGTAATTTGAAACCATAATATTAAGTGAAATAAGTCAGACACACAAGCTTACGCATCGCGTGGTTTCTCTACCATGAGAAACTAAAATTCTACACTGAAATTTCTCACTGAAACTTTACACTCATTGACTAACCTTCTCCTCACTCCCACCCCAGCCGCTAATAATCACCACAGAGCTCTCTGCTCACAGGATTCATGTTCTGTAGATTCCACAGGTAAGTGAGATCAGAGAGTACTGTCTTTCCTGAACACAGTTCTCATCAGTGGAAAATGGAAGTCAAGGCGCAGAGATGTTGTGCTGTTTAACAAGGCTGAACTCAAATTTCCTGACCATCGCAAACACACATGTGCCACACACACTCACCAGGATGTCACTAAATTAATGACTTCCTGTCACTGTGACAGCTCTCTTCTGAAATAATAACAAACTGTTTAACCTCTTTTAGGAGACCACTGATCCCAATCTTATAATCTTTGAAATCTGGGATTTTTTTTTTCTCTACAGCTGTTACACCTTTCAATAAAAGTCTCTCTTGTTTCTACTTTGGCATGTCACCTTCTGAATTAAGAAAGAAAATAATCACACTTTTAGAAGTATTCAACTGAGCAGAACACATCTACAGCCAGGGAGTAAAGTACAAAGGCCTTGTGCGCGTTCTCTGTTTTACAGAAGCCATTTCCGGCTTACATTCTATCTCTCAGCTGTGCTGTCCATGGGGAGCCCTGCTAAGTAACTTATTTCTGGCTAAGCAAGGGATGCCACTACTTTGTTTTGTTTTGTTTTTTTGGGTTTTTCTCCGGTACCGGGAACGGAACTCACCTTGCACTTGCCAGGCAGGTGCTTTTGCCACTGAGCTAAGTCCCCAGCCCCGGGATGCCACTACTTTGAAACCCCTGTATTGAAATCTGTACACCACATAGCTTTATGAATCAATCAAACTGAGAAAACCAATTTCTTCTCTGAGTTCCGAGCAATACTTTAAAAAACAATAAAAAAATTCCATTTAAAATATGGCAGATCAGGACGGCTCCGCATTTAGCAGCTTAAGGAAGAAGATGATGTCTTGGACATCAGATATACTTATGAAAAAAGAAATTGGTTTTTGGAAGAAGTCTTTTCAAATTTCAGTTGATGAGAGATAATCTTTAAGACGCATGATTGATAAAATAGCTCCTTTTGGATCTTACTGCATTCAGAAGTAATCAATTTATCTAGCAAATCATGGGGAGGAATCGCCTCTGCGATGTCCGGGAATGTGCATGGCGAGTGATGAATTTTCCCATTAGTGCTAATGAGCTGGACTGGTGAACTCCCCAGCGCATCTGCAGAACACAGCCCAAACCATCTGTCTTTCACACTTAATTCAGTTTGTCTGTAGCCTGCATCTTCTACGCAATATTTCCCACAAAGCAATTTCAGGAATGATAGAATTACGAGAAAATACACGACAGAACTGGATATCCTGATACCAAAAACAAAGGAGACAGACAGGAGTCTGGGGAGAAAGAAAGTTACTTCCTCATGTTCCGTGCCTGTCTGAGTGTTATGTGACTGGAGTGAAGGCTGACACATTCATTCATGGAGATGAGAACTGCTTGGTCTGGTTTGAGAAATGGAGAAGACAATAAAGACTCAGAAAGAAAACCGTTGGAAGATGCTCATCATAGAGACACAAACCTGAGAAAACTTCATTGTAGTGAAGTAAAACAGTGACACGTAGATGATTGCAGGGATGTGCAGGAGAAAAGAAAATGGGAAAAGAGAACTAGCGACTTGCATTCACACAATACTTCACTCCCAAACACGGAGCCAGCTGTGGAGAATGATGTGACAGTGGCTTTTATAGCGTCCTTGGAAGCACCTAAGTGTTATTCTTCTTAGTTCAGTATATTTCAGACAATGAATAAGGGATCGAAAGAGATGTTCATAGTTTCACCCACTCATGGTCACCAAGGCACTGCTTTGCTCCACCCAGCTGCTGGGCTGCTGTCCTTTTCATGGCCCATGAGTAATGGACAACTCAAAGGCCACTTGTGTCCATGGCCATAATTATTTTCTCAGAAGCTGGATGTTTAAAGTCCAGTGATGACAGATAATGAGACAAGGTGATCCATATTGTTCCAATGTACATGTAAGCAAAGTATGGGAGGTCCCCTCTGAAATAGACTGTCAACCCCAATGGAATATCCATAGTCTCTTACTTGGAGTTTAAGTCCCAATTCTAATACTAATTATTTGCTCTATCCTTCTCTCTATCTCATTTATTCTAAACAAATTAATTGAGCAGCTACTATGTTCCAGGAGCTATTTTAGGCATTAGAGATAAAGAAGAGTATTACACACACATCATAGATATACACACATGCCACATATGCATATACTTATATATACATGTAAATATATGATAGTTGTATAAAAATACAGGTTTCAGGTTGAGCACAGCCTCCCTTTGGGAGTAACACATTCTCCTTCACCAAGAACCAGCTTGTTCCTGCCCTGTCTTCAAATCATGCCGACCATGCCCCAAGCACAGTGTGCACCTCACTTCTAGGAGGCAGGGAGGGTCAAGGATCTTGCTCCTGAATCCCTCTCTGCCCTTAGGACTGAATCCTTTTCCTGTGCTTCTCCTGAGACACACATCATTCCTTCCTTCGTTGTAGCCTCCACATTCATGTGTTCATCTTACACTTTCAACTTGATGGCAAGACGAGCTTCTTGACAACCCGCTGCTCCCTGTACCGTGTCTTGAGGTTCCATCCGCGTGCCTCGGACACTGCAGTATTTCAACCTGTGTTTCTGGAACAACTGGTTGAGGTTATCAATGAAATCAAACTGCCTTTGCTGAACTGCACCATTCCTTGTTCCCTAATAGCTGCCTTTCATTTTCCTTGGGACGTTTCTCCAGCTATTTATCCTTTCACTTTCAGACTCCTAAGTCCTGAGTCTGCTTCTTGCTCTGCAAGCACAGAGGCAGCAGCTGCTCTGCTGGCGGCAAGGCCCAGTGAGACCCGGGCCATGGGCGCCTTCCGGGTGCTGTCCAGTGCTGAACAGCGGGGAGTGCGTGACCCCTGAGGGGTGTCCGCTAGTGGATGAATAGCGGTGTGTGGGGAGCACAGCGGAGGAGACATCCACCCCAGGCGAGGGGCAGGGAAATGGCTAAGGAGTGACACCCCAGTGGCCCAGCCTGGAAGAGGACCCCTGTGGATTGACCCACTGTGGTCTGCAAAGCGGGGGCCCGGTGGGGCTGAGGAGAGCTGGAGGGGGCACTGAGAGGGGGTACCTGTGAAGACCAGTCTGGCTGCAGAGGGAGGGACCTGGAGGCCCAAGGCCGCGTCAGCGCAGAGAGATCTCTGCATGGAGGCCAAGGCTCGGTGAGAGTTCAGAGCAGTCACGGGGATGCAGCCACAACCGGTGAAGAAACGGCAGAGCAGAACCAACAGGGAACCAAGCAGCAGCATCTCAGTGAGCGCAGAAGGACCAAGGACAGAGGGCCAGGAGCAGAGAAGGTGACGCCGTGGAGACGAGGAATGCGATCACAGGGACGGCTGCGTGTCCAAAGACCTGGAGGGAAGACAAAGCTGGCAGTGCTGCAGAGAAGCCACAGGCACGAGCACTGAAAATGACCCCCGGGCCCTGGGACCCAGAGGAGCAAGGCGACGTGGCGGGAGCGGTGACGGTGGCACAGCACCACAGCCATGTGACAGAGAAGGGAGGAGTGTGAGATAGGAGCAGAGCAGGGATGGGCCGCCCCAGTGGGATGCCTGCGATAAACCAGAAGTTACAAGGACTTCAAGTGGAAAAATTATTGCTTGTGTGTGGTGGGCATGCTTCCACTTGCTGTGGTTGCTGGACAGATCCCAAGTAAAAATAAACACAGTTCAAGTGTGTGCTATTTAATACGCAGGCACAAAGCCGGTGCCTGTGACAGCAACATCGGGGTCAATGAACAAATCCTATCCACCTTGCAGAAGTCCCCAGTGCATGCCAGATCATGCAAGTGGTTTATTCGTTTTCACTGAGGTGCAATTTTCCTTTGTACAGATGCATTAAGGGCTGTGCAGAGCTTATGCAGAAGATCCTGTTAGGAAGGAAGGGACGAGCTGGGAGCGTGGCTCAGTCACAGAGCAGGGGCGTAGCATGTGCCCTCGAAGCCCTGGGTCCCCTCTCCTGCACCCAAAAACAATCAGACAAGAGAACAGATGGAAGGTCCCCAAGAAGGACTATGTTAAAGACAAGGAGAAGGGATGGCTGGGGATGGGCACTGTTTTCTCGGCAAGGGAGCAGCCGAGGTCAGGCGGGGGAAGACAGCAGAAACCGCAGCAAGGCGGTGGGCTCTGGAGGAGCACGGATGCCCAGAGCCAGGCTCAGAGAGCAGCAGAGACTCGGAAAAGTCACACGCAGGACTTCGTACTGAAGGGGTGTCTGTGTGGACAGCCCTGGAGCATCCCTGGGTGGTTGGGTGTCATAGCCAGAGACAAAGACGATGCCCCTCAGACAAAAGGGGACAGCAGTGACGGTGGGCATCAGACAACCCACATCCACATTCTGAGCCTGCCCCTTGCCGGGAGCAGGGAAAATGGCAATCTACCTGAGCCTCCGCTTCCCCGGCTGGAAAGCAGAGACCGGCTCTATCACGGAAGGTTGGCTGTGCCAGCTGAATGAAGCCACAGGAGTCGGGCCCTTAGTGTACAACAGAAACTCAAGAGTTGAAGTGCTGTGAAAACAAACTTTTCGCAGTAGATTATTGACACTAGGAGGGGATGAGAATCAACTGAGGTGTGCCGTGAACGTGTACCAACTTCCCGTGAGGAACGCAGTCGGTATGCACTGCAACCGCATGCTATGAGATGAGGGAAAAGGTAGAAAAGCGCAAAAGCCTTCCTAGCGAAGCTCCCATCCCGATGGTCAGCGACCACTGCATGCGCTGGGAAAGGCAGCGCGATGCTCCACACTGAACAGCTGGGGGCTAAAGCACGGTCCACCCCAGGC